AAAGTAATTATTTTCTTTTTCCATTTCACTTCTGGGAGGGAATAAACGAATATAAAAACTGAATTTTTTATTGCTTTTAACTTTCTGTTTGACATGCGAAAAAACATTAAAGTGGTGGTTCTTAGTAGTTGGTTCAATAAATAATTATTATATACCTAATTCAAAGAATAATAGAGTAAAATAGTTTGAGATTAGGTTTGAAGTTATGGATCGGTAAACTGGACAATGTTTTCAATGGACACTAAGTCCATCACTAAAAACTCGAAGTATTGCTCAGTATTTACAATATATTTAAAACTTAGATAGTTCAAATGTACTCACAAGTATCAAGCCAAGGCTTTACACCTATCTCTTCTCTCTCTGTGCAGAGGTAAACTGGATAGCTGAAACAAGCATAAAAGTTCGTTTTTATTTTGAAACTGAAATAATTAGAAATAACCATTAAAAAAATTAAATAAGTAACATTTATAAACTGAAAGTCAGATACGATCGCAAATAAATTATGTTTAAATTAGTTTCTAGGGTATGACGTTTGTCTACATTTATTAAAGATATTATTAAGTAAGATCGCACCATAACATTCTACGAAGTCTATAAGGAAGGCATCTAGTCAACCCACCCACCGCCAAATCTTGGGCTACTCTTGTCAGATCGAATAAAGTGATTTCACTGTCGTTATTATAATGCGCCCACGGCCTCCAAGTATGGAACGCGATGTTTGGTTTGGACGGTAACGAAACGCGAATAACATAGTGGAGGAAGAAGTATTCGCAACACTTGACCCTCCCAGGTCTTAGAATAGACCTAAAACCTGATCAAGAGTTTTGTTTCGATCAACAGAACCTAAGATCCACAGTCCACCACTGGGTAGTTTTCGGTCGAAGCATGGTTAATATATTTTATTTACCATATTTTGTTGTTGTTGTTGCATGCTAGGTACAGCAGTTGTTGCCACTTCATTCGCCAAAACTAGTTTATTTACACGTAGTTCAGTAATGCATTCAAGTGATAATGAAACAGTGGGAGAATGGAGGAATGTAACGACTGGATTATCCGGGTTAGCAGTTCAACTACCTTTCCCCCCTAGTTACATAGAACACCAACTTTACAGTAGTTTGTTTTACGTTCACTAAAAGAGAAATCCTGCTATCTGGAATATTATAGACTGTGTTAACATTTAGAGAGTTTGGTCACGTGTTTTGTGTTAAATGAAAGCTATGCTCATTGGGAAATTGCTGAATGAAGCTTTAAAAATCTCATTGACATTTACTTAGTAACATAAGCCTAGACAGAAAAAGTTTGGGTCTGAAAGATTTTCCAGTATTGTCATTTATTATATAAAAGAACGAATTTCCAAAAATAAGAAGTAACTAAGACTAGACATTAACATTTAGTAGTTTCCCACTGGAATAGAAAGTGTTCGATAACTTACATTACATATATATTATGTATAGCTATAGGAAATAGAATAACTAGTAGGCTTACCATACGTGAAGCTACCAGGTTGTTTCCAGTGCTCAAAATAATATTTATCTCCGTATTTCAGTTTTAGAAACTGATTTTGAATAATGATGGCAAATGTTGGACCGACAACTCCATTGGTTACTGGGTACTCTGCAACACCACCCGAGAAAAGATCGATGTCTTCTACTGACCTGAAAATAATGTATAGGTTTGATTGGTAAGTTGGAACAGAAATGTTTTAATATTTCACAGATGAAACGTACCGGGATAAGATTAATATATAAAGACATAAGAACTTTATATTCTAGAAACTTTGTGTATTTTGTAAAGTATATGACATTAACTAAGTTAGTGTACAAAATATACGAGATAATGATTTGATAAAAACTTACATATGGATACCCAAATCTCTTCATCTACTCAAACACTAAATGTATACAATATACCAAAGTAGGTTAATCGTACCACTGGGGCGGATTAAGTCTTATATACTGGAGTTGGTACTGTTCATAACATTCGCTTTTGAACAGCTCTATGTAACCTAGGTCAATAAATATACTACCAAAAGAAAATAAGACTTATACTTTATTTAAAATATTTTGTTTAAAATTAAGCTTGTAACTATAATATATATATAATCTGAACGTCATCAAACAATGACTCAGTAATTAACACAGTAATTACCAAAATACCGAACATTCTCCTACATATTTTTATTTAAAAACAGTTCTTACTCATAAAGATTCTCAAACGCCGTCCAATCCGTAGAAGACATTAAGACATCCAAGTGCGAAAAATTTGAAATCGGTAGGTTAAAGAACTCTTTAACATAGTGAACATAACTCTGAATTCCATGATCTCTGCCTCTTTGGATGTTAAAAGATGCAAGGTCCAAACCAAATTCTTCCCCAGGTTTCTGAAATAGGTGATTAGTTACGTCTTCAACAATAAACTTGTCAAATTTTTGTGCAGGTTGGGCAGCTAATCCTCTAAGAATTCGATCCAATTGTCCAATGTACATTCCAAATGGTTTAAAGAAACTTTCTCGCAGCTGAAAACTCGTAGTGGATCCAGCAGAATTTATTTCATTAAACTGGTTCTGAATTAATGTATGACCGAATCGAAATGCTGCTGCAGAGAACTCGTTCAGAATGGATGGGTTGATGGACGGATAGTAATATGTGTAACCAAACTGTCGAGGCTCGAGATAGTAGTAGTAGTTACCTAAGACAACCCTAAGAAACTCATTGTATGTAATCATTTGAATCTGAGCGATCACGAATCTCCTGGAACAGAGAATACAAAAACAATATTGATATCTTAATATCATATAAGTACATTAAATACATGGTCAAACTTTCATGTTACACTATTATATTAAATATTTTAAACACACAATATAAAAACAGTATTAACATCTTAATACATTATAAATACATTAAACACATGATGATGTAGCTGTTATGTCCGTAATTGTTATAGATGAGAAACAGAGAAAAAAACACTATATATTTCTAACTTGTTCTACTTACATTAAACAGAGTATAAAGCTAACTTACTAACCGTACTTATCTAGTTCTCTATCTGTTCAAAATAAGACAAGTTGATAAAAAAAAGTCATAGTAAATAGCAGGTAAACTTGGAATTTGTTGTTTTTATAACTTTGTGTTATCATCATACAGGTTATATTATACTTGAAACTGCACTTAAAAATGATGTTTCGTTTGTCTACTAATAACGTTAAAATAACTCCACCTGGATTCCTGATACAGTTTCTCATCATCCCAGCAAGGGTTGAGTTCCTTCAAAGATTGTGCTATCTTGTTATGTTGCCTTAACAACACAGTATGGATGGCTGTTAGACCTGGTTGTTCATTCAGTCGGTCATCCCCTGGTAGTTAAAACAATAAACACGATTTTATTATTTGAAGTCAACCAGTAAAGCGGTCTTTTAAAATGTATACCATGTTATTACTTAGGATAACATTTCAGTGGTTAAGTAGTGATAGACTCTACACGTGGATGGAAAGTTTCTGGCTCTTGTAAGCAAAGAATTGGTAAATAACTTAGTTGTTCATTCATGGTTACGTAAGCGGGAGAAGGGGAAGAGTAACGGGTTTCTCCTGAAAGTAGTGCGTGGCTCTGTAACTGCAAGTAGAAGACAGATGCGGATTGCTGTTAGAAGTTTATTTGTTTGTTTTTAAGCGCAAATCGACATAATGGGTTATTTATGCTGAGCTTACAACTGGTATCGAATCTTGTGTTATAAGCCTTCAAGCTTATAATCCTCGGCCGAAAGTGTGAAGTGTTTCTCGCCTCGAATTCAAGACTTCATCCACATTTGAAGGAAAACGTAAAATAACTACACCACATCGATAAATGCAGCCTACTTTAAGATCACTATTTCTATCAGCGATTTAATGGTTCACCCTTTCCTGATAATATACACATGAGTTTTGTCTTTTATTTACCTGTATGCTAACCAATCGTTGTTATTATGTACGACCACTACTGTGTACGAAACGATTTCATTACCTGCAAGAAAACAGTACAAGTCTTGAGACGGATCGCTACACAAGTCTTCTGAAGGGTTGGGACTTTGGGGTAAAAGCGTGTTGCCGCTAGAGTCGGTGTAACTTTTTAATAAACCTAAAAGAGAAAATATATCTATGTTGTGTATTTTGAAACAATAGTTCTTCATTCATGAACACTTACCGTGTAATCTGTAAACACCAATAATTTAGTATACAATTCACTATGTCGAGAATGCTTTTGTCAGACATTTATTAATATGAACCATATAAAAATAACTAATTAAATATAATGATGGTTAACCGCACAATACGCAATGTTCTAGATCACATTCTGTCCTTGGAACTACGTCCACCTTTGTTGAAGACCATGGTTAGTACCCCATATAACTTTAACGGATTTGTGTGTCTTTTTTTGTTTAAACGTAATATTGTGAGCCGTTGTTCCCCATATATATTAGAAAATCGTCGAAACGTTTTTCCAGGTTTGCGTTCTGTGATAACCCTTATCACCCTTTGCAGAGACTTATTACTATGGGAATCGAAGTGTCGCCCTATAGTCCCTTGACAACCATGTGGTAGAACGTGATTGTGGTGATTCCAGTGTTTTCGAGCGACACTTTCACGAAAGCTTATGAAATTTTGGTTTGTGGGTCTTCGTATATTTCATTGGATTCTTTATAAACTTATTAACTGTATCTTGAGATATGCCAAGTTTCATCGCAATATCTTTTAAGGTAGGAGATTTTTCTTTCGTGATCACTGGCTGTATCCCATCTGGCCTGATGAGCACTGGTATTGTTAGAAAGGCTTCGTCGGCATTAGTTAGAGCAGATATAGCGTGATTGAAATATTTTTATACTCATTTACTTTCATTCAGATGCAGATGAGGGAGTTGTTTCGTATTCGGTTTGGATAGTAAGTTCGGTCTCTGTTATTATCCTAACCTCTGCACTGAATTCTTCCTGTTTTAATATAGATCACTGAAGACTCGCTTATTCCTTTTGTTGTTGTTGTTGTGTGGCTAAATATACTCTGTTGAATATAGTTTCTGTACGATTATCCATCCTATTATCATATTTAACCATGTTTACCCTCGCAGGTATGTGATAGATCTATGTACACGAAAATATTTCACAAGATAGGAAGTCAGTATGGGATAGTCCTCCTCAAATTTGGTCTGGATCCGGATTCTGGATTTTTTACAATGTGATGAGAAGTCTCAATCTTCTAAATTTGATAAAAATCCGACTACAATTTACAGAGTTATTAACCCCAAACCGCCGAAATGCGCAATCTATACAAGAAAATCCTTCTCATATCCAGAATGATCAACGATCTGGATCAGTTTTTGTAGAACATTATTACAACTTGATATAATCACATCCAGTTTGTTTGTATCTTAAAATGTTTAGGTTAAGATAGAACAAAAGGTATTCGACTCTGAAGATTCTTGCTGAGATAAATGAACTGTCACACGCACTTATATTCTGTTTAGCAAATTAATATATTGGTTTCGTTATCAATAAGATTTTGATATATAAAAAAATATTTGATATGGCTGACAACAGATTTTTAAACTCCAATGACTTCAGTCGTTACAGGTAATCTGTCTCGGTTACTGTTAGGGTTAATCTTACTTTATAACAAGAACAATCAAAGAGATTTCACACCCTCACCCACTGCTTCTTTTCGAGATTGCATGCGTTTATATCGGATAACATAAAATGTCACCTTCGAAAACTGAAACCTATTTGCCATAAACCTTAAATCTAAAGCGTAACTAATGATTTACCATTCACGAAAGTCCTTAAAGCATCGCTGGTGTTTTGTAGGCTTCCGTAAATCATAGACCCGTCAAGAAATGATGTGAGGGCGTTTATCTGTTCCCGAGTTCCTACAGTTCGGAAAAGTTTCAATAAGACAATCAAACAATTCAAAACCTTATAACACGCATACAGATACGAAACAAACCGATCGATTATATTCTACCACTATCTGAAACTATAATGTAATTCTTTTGGCTGTCTATCTCGCTACAAACATCAAACCTTTATCCTTCAGATAGTATTTCAGGAATATCAGGGTTATGATAATAATACTATATTTTTACCTTTCGTTGTCATTGTTTTAAACTTGAAAGTTAAAATTAAAGTTATAAAACGTTTTTAAAACTATTAGGTTAGAATAATAATAAAAACGTATTCCTAAAGTTGGTTTATATCTCTTGGGTTATGATGAATTGACTGTTTGCGAAGGGTTAATACTGATTAACTAGAGCCTAATGTGAACCAACATTTGTATACTGATTAACTAGAGCCTAATGTGAACCAAGATTTGTATACTATTAACTAGAGCCTAATGTGAACCAAGATTTGTATACTATTAACTAGAGCCTAATGTGAACCAAGATTTGTATACTATTAACTAAAGCCTAATGTGAACCAAGATTTGTATACTGATTAACGATTAACTAGTATAATCAATTAACTCGTTCTAATTAAAAGGTGTTTTTGTTTGGTTGGTGTTTAGCCTTTAAGCTTACCAGGGTTAGAAGTACATCTATGTTAAATATTCTACGAGAAATAAACAACCACACCAAAAATACAACTGAAAATATAACTGATGGCCAGAATATAACTATTCTTCCCAATAACATGACCCATTAAACATATTCACCGATAAACGTTAACTAGAATCCATTTATATTATTTTTATACAGCGACAATTATAATATATTAATTTATTTGATTCGTGTAATAGTTTTATTAAAATTAATTACACTACAGAACACACAACTGAACAAAACACAGTTAAATGGGCTACTTTAATGGCTTTCAACATTATTTAACTAACTTTTAGAATCAATCTGTGATCAAGAGTTACCCTAACTTACCGGGAGTACAAACAAACATAAATTTCACTAAGGTTTTATACACCATACTTAGAGCCTAATGTGAACCAAGATTTGTATACTGATTAACTAGAGCCTAATGTGAACCAAGATTTGTTTAATTAATTATGTGATAAAGTTTGAAAGTGTAGAATAGAAACTACCGTAAAATTATATGTGATCAGTGGAGGATAAAGTGTAACCTTAGCTGTGGAAAACAACGAGAAAATGACTGACTTAGACCTGTATGTGTGGTGTAAGCGTCATTTCTTAATGCAATAATGATTTACTTTGTTTTCTTTATTTTTAATTAAATATTATATTCGCAGAGTTGATGCATTTCAGTGACAGAATTTGTCTTTTCTAGAAGAAATGTCCAAAAGTTAAATGCTTCTCTCTCTCTCGTTTTTAAAATTAAGTTAAGGATAGTTATGTGCTGGAAAAATATACCCGTCATCTCTCTATTTTGGTAAGAAATATGTAAAATGTATTGAATGTTTTTTTTAGGAACGACCTTAAACCATTTTGAGTGTTTTGTATTTAGAAATTTCGTGTTAAATAACAGAAAGTTGTGGTTTTAATTTTATTATTAAGAAATGATACAGAGTATTCTGTTCATGCACATGAACAGAACTACCCCGTCAAGATTAAAATCACCTAATAGTAAATGTAATCTCCCTGTAAACTGGATTTACTAGCTAGTTGTCAGACAGTTGATACGGGGAAAGGATCAGAAGTAGATTTGTATGATAATATAATCAGAGACGACATCAATTACTTGATGAGTTACACTCGTTGGTGGAGAACAAAGTACGTTAAAAGTTTTTAATAATGATCTGATATATATTTAATAATTTGTAGAAGACAAAGGGAATATAAAGGTTTAGAATGGTTATTTTATCGTTCTAACTGCCAGGAAGTTTTCTGACTTTACATATATACAGACTTATTTCATCTTTTGATACGGGGGAAAAATTACTTACACACGAATAGAATAAATACTAAATCGACTCATGTCGAGTCAGCGATGATCGGGATTCACAACAATAATTTATTTTTATACAAAACTTTCCGAATATCAAATATATGACAATTTTATCATAATCAATTCCACAAATTTTGAGAGGGTGATTTTTGTATTTTACATCAGAATAGTATACTATTTTATTAAAAGAATCGAATATACATGTTGTTTAATTCTATCAATATTACAAAATATTTTTAATGTAAGAATGTGAATATAGGTACCCTTTCTTTAGGTTTATGTTTTATAAACATTCTAACATAAGACTAAACGGTTTGTCTTTAAACAAACAAGATGGAGGTGGACTTGTGACTGCTGTGATCCCAATCAACAGGACCCTTTATGCTTTCCAATCACCATTCCTACCAACGACCCCTTCTATTCCCAGTACGATCAAACATGCCTGAATTTCCGGAGGTCCGCAAAATGTTTAAAATCTACGCTTGGTAAGTCTATAACAGCCCGACTCCAGGGTAATTTTAATATCATTAATATTTTAATCTGTTCAATTTGATATGACATTTGTCATATTTTAATCTGTCAATTTGATACAACGTAGAAAATCGTGATCTAGAAAAATCCAGTACGTCGTAAGAAATAGCAACTTTCCTAAGCCTGACAGTTATTTTAATCTTAACCTTACATTCATGTTTCAAAACTAATAACAGTAAATAACCGTTCTACTCACAGGAGTTTCTGAACCAAGAAAAGCTGTTTCTGGTGCTGAACTGCCGAGTCCACGTCTGGTATCATCCGTTATTCACACTGACCAGGAACGACCAGCAGACTTCACTCACTTTGTGATGCAGTGGGGTCAAATAATTGATCATGATTTGACATTTTCCCCATTCTCCAGTTTTCCTGGAGAAGAGCTCATTTTAGGAGGTATGCTTGGAACTCTTTTCATCCATTATTGCATGCTGTTCTAATATATATAAACGGACTTATTTGTCACGTTCTTAACCGTCCATTTGATATGACATTTGTCATTTCGGTGCTATACCTGATTTGGGATTTATTAACAACCAATGAACGCATAAGTTAACGGTAAAGAGTGATCTCAGAATTTTCAATGTGGAAGAATCAAAATTTAAAAAATTTTGTCCTTTGCTGGAGGTTTTCAATACAACGACATAGTTAGGTACGTTACATATTTGTTACATGTTATTTTAAGGCATTCTTAAAGTCAAATCTATTGTTCAATTTATAAAGTTTGGCTACTGTTGTAAATCACAGCAATAAACACGTCTCGGGCTACCAAACTCAAGAGATATAATGTGCACCCCTTCACAGAAATACCGAAATATTGATGGCACCTGTAACAACGACTTGTATCCAGAAATGGGATCTTCCTTCACGTGCTTAGACAGAATTCTCCAACCAAACTACGCTGACGGTAAGTATCTGAAATAATCACTGATTTGATACCCATTAATATTTCTATGGTTCTCTAGAATCGTTGATACACGTACCTGAGTTAAAAACGAGTGACCCATAGTTTTAGGCTGGTGAGAAACGAAATGTTGTATTTAACAAGAACCACATATATATTTAGTTTTCCTCTCATACTACACATATATCTATAAAATAAAAACAAATATTGAAATTTACTGCTTTACTAACCTTTAAGTGAGAATACAAAAGTGTATTTCAACAAAATAAATACTGTTTTTAATGTATGAAACATCAATGTTTATTTTCAACTACAACCTCCTCTACCGTGAGTGCGCTATAAGAGTAACGGTCAATTTCCAGTATTTCAACAGACAAGATTAGTGTAATAGTTGACAGTGGGTGCTGTTGTCTAGCTGTAATCACTCTAGTTTATCAGTTCAAAGATAAGTATGGCTATGCGGAGATATACCTGTTGCAGCTTTACCAGAAATTCTATAACAGAGTTTTATAACTAGGTACTAGTTAAAAGCAAAGTATTTTCTTATCATATTTAAAAGGAGTCATATTTCAGTTTTTGAATTACGTTTTATTTCTGGACAACATACGCAACGCCATTATTTATAATTTCACTATCTTGTAGGCTTAACTTGAAGAATAACGATGTCCCTGCTCTCGCTGCTGCCGATCTAGAGAAAAGTAAGTTACAAAATATCATCAGTGATATTAAGACAAGGCAGAGCATCCCAAAGAATTCTCTTCGGAGTTTAAAATGGTTTGATATGAAAAATTCACGTTATAAAACCAAATAAAATAATGATAGGTAGCTTATGTATTTCGATTTTAATTTTGTTCTTCAATTAACATGAAATAAATGCATAATGCTTCCATACAATATAAACCTTCTTATACAGTCTGCGATAACATTATATTATTTACTATAATAAAGGGAGTGATTTGGTGGATAAAAAATCGCCAACCTACTCATGTCCATCGGCCATGGGGAAGTACTACAAGCGAATGTTAAGGACAGGTCAAGTTTCCGAGATGGATAAAAGAGCCAGTCTGCTTGAAGAAACGACGAAAGTTTTGGTCAAAGAGTAAGTCTGAAGTTAGCCAGTAAGACACGACTAATTTTAAAACAAGAAATTCTTTATCTACACTTTATAACGTTATAACGAAAATTACATGACCTTACAGCTCAATATAGAAAACGTAATATCTAAATTTACGATTACAACTAGAGACCGGGACTAGATATGACTGAAGCCACTTTTCTTTGTTAGATAACTAAACTTTATATTAAACTAAAACTAATTAGAATTCCATGTTATGTTCAACTTTGTGTTGATGAAAAATAGTTATTGATGTCCACATTTTGGTTCATGTTTAAAATATATTTTGTTTTCAAATTGGTCTATAATTATCTGTTATAAATGTTTCCTTATATCCTAATATCACTTACCAGACACAGAATTTGATAGTTGTTGTTGTTTCAATTTCTCATAAGCTTTGTCGACTGCTTGGTTGAGTGTTGTAGAATCTATTGACAGTGCTTTAACATCATTGGTTTTATAGTGGTTTAGGAATCTGGGAGGAAGTTGTATCAACCCTTCGGTTATCACAACCCAGTTATAGTTTAGAAATAAAAACGATACCACAAATGTCAACATCCTAAACGGAAGAAGCATTCGGAGAATGTTAATCTGCAAACATATACGTGTTTTCTTTTAAATAAATCAAAAAATTATTATTGGAGATCGAAACAGGAAAAAAAAGAATTTTCCAGTAAAAATTAAATCGAAAGAAGGTTAAAAATCAATTCTTGTAAGTTTGAAAAAAAAGTGTTCAAAATTAGCGAAATACACGTGTATGACAAAAAACCTTTATTATTATTTGCAACGTTTCCGGCAAAAGTCCTTCGTCAGGCAGTTTAAACCGGGTTTAATAGAAAAAAAGGGTTTAGACAGAATCGTTAAAGGGTTAGAATATGCAAAGATTCTAAACTACGTACGTACTACGTGGAGCACGTTAACAAAAATATTGTTAGAAGGAACATTGTTTCTGTGAAGTTGCGTTGGATAATTCTACTAATGTGTCTGGTTGGCAGGATGGTGTGTTAGGACTTAAGGAACTCTATTACTGTATGGTTTGTCCTTAGAGTGGAGACGGACAAATAAACTAAATGTGGCAAGCTTAGCCTTTTCAGTAGTGTTATCGGGATAGTTTTGATATCTAGAATAAAGAGTCATGTCGTTCATCTTTGTGTCCAGTAAAAAGACCCAGAATATCGTCGATGTACCTGAGAAAAAAGGTAGGAATTTTTTGGGTGAAGATGTTGAAAAGTTCTTCTTCTACATAACCAACAGAAACGTTGGCATAGGATGTACCCATTTTGGTTCCCATGGCAACAACTTGTAGCTATTGATATGTTTTTAGTTAAAATCAAAGGCATTCAAAGTCAATACCAAGTCAGTCAGCCGAAGTATGGTGTCTGGGGGGAGGGGGATATAAGTTGTTTTTCATGTTTAGAAAATGTTTAAGTGCAATCATTCCGTTGTTGTGTGTTATAACAGTGTTTAGAGATTGAATGTCCATAGTCAATGGTGGTGACAGAGTCAAAGTTGTTTAAGAGATTAAGGACATGAGAATTATCTTTAACGAATCTAGAGAGAGTGTTCACTAGGGGTTGATCACCACTAGGAGATCTCCCGATCCTTGATACTTTTATCAACCAATGTCGTACTGAAATCAACACTATTAAATTCAAGAATACAAATACTAGGCCTAATCTCTGCAAAGGTGAGCGATTTGCTCTATCCACCCTGAAAACCCGCAAGGACATTGTCGTCAAACCAGCCGACAAAGATGGAGCAGTTGTTCTTTGGCGTAAAGATCTGTATGTTCAAGAGTATAACCAACAACTAAGTGACTTCACCTTCTATAAACCTCTCTATGACGATCCCCTTCCCCGTTTTCAGAAACTCACCAAGGATAGTATAGAAGAACCTATCAAATTTAACCACCTTCTGCCAAAAATCTTATACTTCAACACCTCAGAATTGCCATTTTCTACATGCTACCCAAAATTCACAAAACCCTGTGTTCGGGACGCCCCATAGTCTCTGCCTGTAACTGCCCCAATGAAATGATCTCCACTTACTTTGACAGTATTTACCAGTTTGGGTTGCGAACCTCGAAACAATTGAAAGGATGAGATGGATTGTGTTTTGTAGGTGCGATACATATAGAATCAACGGGAAGAGTGTCATCGGGTACAAAACAATATTAAAGTTTTTGTTATAGACGTATGTTTTACCAATTTTGAACAAGTTTGTAATTCTTTGTTCACGTCTTGCGGTCTTTTCTACCATGTAAATTTGAATGTACGTCAGGAATAGAGAAAAGAAATGGTCAGGTGGGGCATTGTTATTGGTAATACGAGAATGAGATAAATGTGAAAATTGATAATAAGTACAAATGTAAAGATTAGTAATGGTTCATTGTACTACAAAAATAGGTTATAATAACGATTGGTTGTTATTAGAAAAAATGTGTAATGATAACGGTTCATTGTTATTACAATGATGGGCAATAGTAACAGTTCATTGTTATTACAGGAATAGGTAATAGTAACGGTTGACTGGTATTACAAGGATGGATAACAGTAACGGCTTATTGTTATTACAAGGATGGATAACAGTAACGGTTGATTGTTATCACATGGATGGGTAATAGTAACAGCTGATTGGTATTACAAGGATGGGTAATAGTAACGGCTTATTGTTATTACAAGGATGGGTAATAGTAACGGCTTATTGTTATTACAAGGATGGGTAATAGTAACGGTTGATTGTTATTACAAGGATGGGTAATAGTATCGGTTGATTGTTATTACAAGGATGAATAATAGTAACAGTTCATTGTTATTACAAGAATAGGTAATATTAACGGTTGATTGATATTACAAGGAT